GTTCTTGCATGAGGCCCATTGTTCTCATTGATTTTGCTTCAGCAGACTGTTTTTGTCTTCTTTTAGCTTATTTTCTTCTAGCTAAAACAACTCAGCTTTAGCTTCTTGTGCTAACGTTAGCTTAGTTCAGCTCTCAGTGCTCACCGGATTAAAGAAAAGCATTTTCTCTAACTTACCTTTGACTGTCAGCAGCATTCTTCCAGAGCAGCACCCCTCCCTGTCCCACCTCTTCACCCCCACCCCGGAGAGCATCTGTGGGTTGACCCRCTCCATCCGGCAGGAGGATGGGGTCCACGCGGCGGAGCAGGGCGGACAGCGGKGGTCCCACCTGCAGAGCTCCCCATCCTCGTGTTACGACTGGGACTGCTCCCTGTGGAACACCTGGAGCTCAGCCATGGGCAGTAACATGGACAGTGCCCGCACCAGCCTCATCAGCTCTGTGGACAGCTGCTACACTCAGGACAGCACCACGCTGGCCCGCCTGCTGGCTGCAGCTGCAGAGACCATGAGTGGAGCGTCTGTGTCTGGTAAGCTGGTTAAGATTGATATAATTTTATTATTTTCTTAAGCTGAAGTCATTTTTGTGTTGATAGTATTGACTAGCTCATCTGGAAAATAAATAATACTTTCTGAGAGTTCCATTCAAATTTATTTGGATGATTTATTTCATGAGAAGTTTTGTTGACAGTTATGGAGGGTCAGCTGACCTGTGAAGAAACATAACTGGATGAAAGTGAATAAAACCAACCAGAGGCTCAGCTGGGTACTGAGTACTATAATAAGAGGAGGGKTGTTATTTTTTATATTATAAAACATTAAAATAAAGCATCTACACATCTTTTCCATTGAAAAACTTTGCATCTCTCCTATTTGTTTAAAACAAAAACAAAACTGCATTACTGAAATATATTTAAAAGTGTTTTGCCAGTGTGAGTTGTAGAGTTTGTTTCTGACAGTAACCTGGTRAATCTGATTAAGAATGAAGAACCTGACACTGCAGCTCCTGCAGGATCAGATTTATTATCAGAGTAAAGATTCTCTGTTTCACAGCGGCTTTGTAACAAACCTTGTAACTGCTGTGCTCCAGTATGACTCTAACACACCTGAGTTGTGTTTAATGTGTTGTGGCAGTAAACAATCAGGTGCTTCTGCACAATGTGAAGCGACAGCAGGATGGATGCAGCAGTTTGAAGCAGAGCTTTAGATGTGCTGAATGTTTGAATCTGTGTGGAGGAAAGAGAGGCAGCAGGTGTTTCAGCTGCAGGTGTTTCAGCTGCAGGTGTTTCAGCTGCAGGTGTTTCAGCTGCAGGTGTTTCAGCTGCAGGTGGCATCATGAGACCGTGGAGCAGCAGACTGAACACAGGACCAGTTAGTTTTTAGTTTAATCATTTCTCTCCTGTCAGCAGACGTATCGCTCAAAATTATTTTTTATTTCCAACATAAAATGAAGTCAGTTTATAATACCTATAAACTACTTACTAATATTAGATACAAATTACTATTCTCTTCTTAATTATACGGAACGATACGGTTTGAAAGAGTTTACTCCAGTATTTGTTCTGATCGTTACACAGATCTAAATGTGTTTCCACTGTTTCTACTCAAATACTTTTATCTGCTGCTCTGACTTTTTTCACTTTGTTCTAAAGAAAACAGATTTATGTGGTCCATCCATCCATCCATCCATCCATCCATCCATCCATCCATCCATCCATCCATCCATCCATCCATCCATCCATCCA